GTTTACACTATTCCTTTTGTTTTTTAGGGTCTGGGAATAGGCCATAACTGTGAAGCAGAAGCAGATATGGTGAAAAATCCCATGCTGGTCTCCTTAGAAATGAGTCTGAAGCAGAAGAAACCAGGCAGTACTTAACCAGAGGAGCCAATCAGTCTTACACACAGAACAAGCACTTATTGAGCACCACACTCAAAGCTTTGAACACTCTGCACAATTTCTAACCAGACGTGGCCACCATGAATGTTCCTCCCTCTGTGCTCTCAAAGCACCCTATGCTCACGCCTCTCAAAGCACTTTTTATTCTTTATTGCAAATGTTTATTTCTTCATCTGTCTCTTCACTAGCTTCAAGCTCCTTGAAGTAAGTCCTGTCATGTTCTGTTTTAATCTCTGTATAAAAGTCATAAAACAGCACCAAGCCTCTATATATATTAGTTGGCCAATGAATTTCTTTCTATTTATAGTAGAGACGGGTCTCGCTCTTGCTCAGGGTGGTTTCGAACTCCTGACCTCGAGCGATCCGCCCGCCTCAGCCTCCCAAAGTGCTGGGATTACAGGCGTGAGCCACGGCGCCCGGCCTGAATTGCCAACATGCATAGTGTTGGAGCTGAAAGAGGATTCCTTTTAATGAAAATAATTTATACTCAAGTAATAGTTTAACAGTAGATCACATATAACATTTCAGAACAATAACTATATTGGGAAAAGAATTAGTGGTCTGGGATGTAATGTCATTTGTTAAACCAAGTTGGCCACTAATACAAGAGTTCAGCAACACTCAGTGAAAACATTCTCAATTGACTCAATTGACTACTCAGTGGAATTAATAATATATAATTATACATTTTCTACTTGTAAAATATGTGTTATATATCTGTTATATCAGTAAAATATAAAATAAATGTATATATGTATGTATGTATGTATGTATGTATATAGGTATACACACACACACACACACCTACCTCCCTCTCTGAGAGCTGGTTGTTAATCATTTACCAGCACACCACTGCCCCCACCTCCTGTCCTACCCCTATTTCTTTGTTCCTCCTCCAGACTCTTCCTTGCAAAACATTGTCCTTCTCTTTATTTCATGGGATAGCTATCTCCTGCCTCAGAGCCTTCGCTGCTGCCTTTCTCTTTCCCTGAAATGTTCCCTTTTCTCCTCAATACCTTTCACTCCCAACACATCTGAGATCTTTCCATCTTTGCTAAAACACCACTTCCTTGGAGAAAGGCTTCCTTAGCCCTTCTGACATGTTGGGGCTTCCTGATAAATATGATCATAGCACTGTGTATTTCTCGTTCATAATATGCTGTCACAGAGAAATTATAAAATTATCTGTATACTTTTTATTAATTGTTTGTCCCTACACTAGGCTGGAAGTTGCATGAATGGAGGGACCACATCACTTTGTTCACTGCTGAATTGCCAGTACTTACCGGACTGCTTGGAAAACATTAAGTGCTCAATAAATGCTTGTTCCTTTTTCTCTTCTTTCTCCCTGTGGTCATTAGAATTAATCTCATGAATAGAGAGCACATTTTCTGTTTTGTTATGGTTAATGGAGAGTATTAATATTTTTATGACATCCTGAACTTTTCCATGTTACAACATATCATAATTAAATATTATTAATTCTTTACATGATTTCATTTATTATTGCTATTATTATTATTTTGCTGAGTATCTCCCTCCTTCATTGGATGGTGAGCTTCCAGAGGTTAGGCTCTGGGTTTCTCCTACTCAGCACTAACACATTGCTTGAGACTTCTATTACCAGGGACACGACAGTGAACAAAGTAGATGGTGTCTGCTATGTTCTACGTGATGAGACAGGTATCAAACAAGTCAAAGTACACCAAGTGGTGCTAAGTGCTGTGAGGAAAAATAAAGCAAGGTAAGAATGAGAAGAGAGGTCTTGGACTTGGGAGGGAAATGCCATTTTATTTGGTGTATCCAGGAAAGGCTTCTCGGATAAGGTGAGTAGAAACCTGTAAGAAGCAACTGAAGGTCTCTGGGCAAAAAGCACTGCAGGCTATGGAGCAGGAGGGAGCATGCTTTGTGGCTTCAAAGAATGCCAAGGGGGCCATGTGGCTGGAGGAAGGGATAGAAGAGGTTAGAGAGATGGTGGGATGGGGTGGAGTTGGGTGGCGGTGTAGGTCATTGGGTCACTGTAAGAAGTTTGGTCATTAGTCAGAGAGATGAAAGCCATTGTTGGAGCCAGGGGTGTTGAGCAGAGGAATGATAAGATCTTATGGTTCTAGTAGGATGAATCCAGGGGTATTGAGCAGAGGAATGACATGATCTTTTGGTTCTAGTAGGATGACTCCAGGAATGAACAGTAGACTACAAGCACAGAGATAGGGAGACGGTTAGGAGCCTCTGGCACGAACCCAGTGTGAGAAATCTGGCTTCAATCAGAGTTATGAGGGAGGACGTTGTGGGAAGGTATCAGATTAGGCACGTATTATTTTGAAGGTAAAATTTAAGGATTTTCAAATGGATTGATTGTGCAGTGTGAAGAGAAGACAAATGATTGTTTAAATATTTGAAAAAGCACTTATGTCATGCCCAGCACTACATTGTGCACTGCTCAGAGATCCATATTGATGGGAAACACACTCCACTCTCAGGGGTATCTAGTCCAGGAGGGTGAATATGATTGTTAGCGTGAAATGCCCAGAGAAAATAACATGACAACATAGCGCTTTCTGTGTATCAGATACCCTCTGTGGACTACCACTGTGCATATATTAATTCATTTCATCCTTACAATGACTCCATGAAACACATAGTAATTCTATCTCCATCATTTAGCTGAGGAAACTGAGACATAAAGATATTAAGTAAAAGTTAAGGTCAAGGCTACACAGTTCATAAATGGCAGAGCTGGGATTTGAACCCAGGTGATCAGGTTCCAGGGTTCGTGCCTTCAGTCATCACTCTTCCTTGTGACAAAGAGTCAGGGGCATGCACTGTACTACATTGGGAGCCACAGAGACAGGGAGTATGAGCCTGTATGACTTACACATGCTATTTAATAAGATAAGCAAAATATACCATTTCTAACAGGTCTAAATGTTGGCCTTCCACTAGCTGACTTTACAATGAGGGACACACACACATAGACACACACACATGCATGTGTAGCCATGCTACTTTAGAAAGTTATTCATGTCTAAGCTCACACATTGACTGAGTTAACAAACATTATGCAATATGTTTATTTGAGAGGTACTTTGCTAAGCCAGTATAAATGCAAAGGCAATTCTATGACCGTGCCTGTCCTCTGGGAAGTTTGTTCTTGAAAAAGAGATTAAATAGGTGGACTTAAACTATAATATATAAGGGCAGAAGAGTTAGAGGACAGCAAGGGGACTGAAAATAAAGGATCAGGGGAGTCTGGTGTGCAGAGAAGGGGCTGATAAGGGATGGGGCTGAACTTAGTTTCTATTCTATGCCTGGAAGATGTGTGGACATAAAAGGAAGATGGGCCGAGCGAGGTGGCTCATGCCTGTAATCGTAGCACTCTGGGAGGCTGAGGTGGGAGAATCGCTCAAGGTCAGGAGTTCAAGACCAGCCTCAGTATGAGTGAGACCCCATCTCTACTAAAAATAGAAAGAAATTAGCTAGACAACTAAAAATATATAGAAAAAATTAGCTGGGCATGGTGGCACAGGCCTGTAGTCCCAGCTACTCAGGAGGCTGAAGCAGGAGGATTGCTTGAGCCCAGGAATTTGAGGTTTCTGTGAGCTTGGCTGATGCCACGGCACTCTAGTCCAGGTAACAGAGTGAGACTCTGTCTCCAAAACAAAAATACAATAAAATAAAAGGAAGATGATACAGTAAAAGGAAGAGCTTGTGCAAAGGCACAGAGGCAGGAGAGCTTTCTATAGGTGGGCAGAGGTTGGGGTCTCTGAAGAGGCAGGATGTAAGAAAATTCTAGAAAGATAGATTAGGGATAGATCATTGGGGTGGAGGGGGTTCTAAATGTCAGGCATTTTACATTTATTTTTTAGGCAATGAGAACCCATTGGAGACTTTTGATTAGGAGGGCACCTAACAAGTTGCTGGGTACATAGTAGGCTGACAGTCAATTGATGTTTGTTCAACTAATAAAGGAGAGAAATAATAAGGGCCAAAATCTATTGAACACTTGCTGTAGGCCAGGCACTTTCCTCAACTACTTGTGCAATGCTCACTATAGCCCATGAGACAGTGTATGTCCATTCTACAGATGAGAAAACTAAGACTCAGGTAGGCAAAGTGTGTTGCTGAAGGTGGTGATTAAAGAGTGGGCATCTGACCAGAGCCTGTGCTTTGTACTGCTGTGCATTTTGGAAAATAGAAGAAGAAGAGGAGAGAAATGGGTTATGGGTCCAAGGAGGCCTCCATCAGCAGAGGAGCAAGGCGGGTTGGAAGTCGGCGACAGTGCAAAGACAGGATCTGTCATTACTTGATAGGGGAGGCTGAGCAGAGGGAAGGGTGAAGAAGGCTCAGAGTTTCTAGCTTCAGTTCCTGGGAAGTGATAGAGCTATTAAGAGAGACTGGGGAGAGATGGAGGGGCAGCTCCGTTTTAGACGATGTGTACAGTAAGATGGGCGCCCAGGCTCCTACAGAGCAGACGGGGCAGTAGTGTTTTTACAAGGCGAGCTGCAGGGCTCCGGGGCTCTGGGGGTTTGTCCTGGGAATCACGAGGCTCTCCCAAGGTTCCCTTCTGTGTTTATATCATTTAGCAGGGGAGGATTGTTAATGACTAATCTGTGTCCATGAGGCACGGAGCCAAGGAGGAGATGCTGCCGCTAGGCCGGAAGGCCGCTGTGATTACCCACCGCTCTGGCTAGAACTCTGTCCTCCTCCGCACCTCCCTGCCTTCCCCCAGTGCAAATCTGGGCATTTGTAGCAAAATTGCTGGGATTTGGAGAGGAGGACTGGACTCAGAATCCTCCCGGGGCCTTGAAAGTTCATCTCTGAGCCAAAACAATCCAAGTAAGTACCTGATTCCTTTGGGAGTGGGATGTCTGTCTCTTGGCAACAGAGCAGAAGGAGTCACAGGTTTCTCTTTGACATCAGTAATTTCTGTCGATAAACGAAGTCTAAGTTAGTAGTGTTTGGTGTAAAATCCTGAAAGTTAAAAAAAAAAAAAAAAGACAAAGAAAGAAACTCTAAAAACAAAAAGAAGCAGAAGTTAATGCGTCTAACAGTTGCTTACCTATTGAAGCAATAGGTATTACCTATTACCCAATAACCTATTGAACATTGTTTAGGAATATTCTTAAATATTGTGCTCACCTAAGGAGAATCACTGGAGAAAGTAAATTTCAGAAATGCTGCTGTTCTTACTCTACAAGCAGTTTGACCCGTATGATGTGCTATGTTCTAGTGATTTATCAAATACTGATGTGGGTGTGGGAATATTGCTAATGCCAGAAGACTTGAGAACTAGGACTAGGACATTTACACTGTGCTTAATTGAAATGCAGATTTTCCCTAGGGGAAGAGTAGGTTTAAAAAGCCTTCTCTTTTGACTTCAGCTGTAGACTCATCTACTGCTTTTCATTTCTAATATTAATGTATATCAAATGGAAATATCAGATGAAAATAGTTTTAAAAGATGGAATATCTGAGGAAGAACTTTATTATTAAAATTGTCCAAGGACTGAATCTATAGATAAGCTATCTCCTGGTCTCTTTGCTGACACAGTGAATTAGGCGGCTGTGGAGCCTGGATCATTTCTCTTCATTGGGTTTTTATTTAGACGGGAGGGGCTGGGGTATGACAAGTGACTCACCTTGGATTCTTTCTCTGAGAAACTCACACCTGAGCTTTGAACTTGAAAGACATCCCATGTTGCTTCTGGTACTGTCTTAGATAGAATCACTTCAGCAGTATTAACAAGAGCGGTAGAGACACAAAAATAATATTAATAATAAATGAGAAGGCGGGAGGAAACTTTTGGAGGTGACAGGTTTATGTCATTGATGGTTTCTCGGGTGTATGCTTTCCCCAAAATCATCAAGGTGTACACATAAAATATGTATGTACAGCTTTTTGTATGTCAGTTATACCTCAATTAAGTGGTTTAAATATGTATACATATATTAATATATATATTTCCTCTTCCTAAAGAAAGAGGAGAAGCGTAGGGAAAAATATTTGGGGAGCCATTGTGTTTCTGGCTGTGATTTTATAAAATGATAGACACCTTCATCTCAGTGTCACCCCCACCCCCAAATCCTCCAAATTACGGACCTGTGCCATTTGCACTGTGGACTTTTCTGTTTTCCGAGAATGTTGCAACAGGACTGATGCAACTCCTAGTTAACTGATCAGGTATTGATCAGGGAGGGACCAAGCGCTCTTGTCATGAGACCCTTCCTCAGTATCTGCGGCAGTTTCCCACGAACCTCTGACCTCTCCCCGCACCTGGAGAGGGAAAGTAATGTAACCCTTGTCCTTACGCTTGTTTCTCCACCTCCAAGATCAGGCCCAGTTGTCACGGAATACCCAATGGTTGTGAGACTCTGCGAGCCCTGCAAGGAAAAGAAAAGAAATGTGTGTGTATGTGAGGATGTGGGGGAGCTAACTTTTATTCCATGTCTAGTAACATGTCTTAGTCTTTATCTAAATTGCCTGCTTCCTTCTCATGACAGCCCTGCATGGGATTTTTTTTCTTATAGTCATTTTACAGATGGGGAAACTGAGGCCCAAAGAGGGCAAGTAACCTGTTCATAGGCAGACAGGAAGTGTTCAGTGTGAGCTGAATTTCTTCTTCTTCTTTTTTTTTTTTTTTGAGACAGGGTCTCCATCTGTTGCCCAGGCTGGAGTGCAGTGGTGTCATCATATCTCACTGTAGCTTCAAACTCCTGGGCTCAAGGGATCCTTCTGCCTCAACCTCTTGAGTAGCTGGGACTACAGGCACATGCCACCACTCCCAGCTAATTTTTAAAATTTTTTGTAGAGATGGGGTCTTGCTACGTTGCCTAGGCTGGTCTTGAACTTGTGGCCTCAAGTGATCCTCCCACCTTGGCCTCTCAAAGTGCTGGGATTATAGGTGTAAGCCACCATGCCCAACCATCAGGACCTGAATTCAAGGGTAGGTCTTTCTGACTCCAAAGCCCCTTCCTGGCTACCCCAATATTGCTAGAGGCTGGGAAAACTTTAAATCAAGAATGACAGGGAGCATAGAGACCAGCCAGCAAACATTCCAGCTTGACAGGGATGATTTGTTAAAGTCCAGAACTATTCTGAAGATTCCCAAAGCCTCATGCATAGGGCATTTTCTAACGACTGCATCATCAGCAGGGGAAGTGGAAAGTATGCAGCACAATTTGTTTTAACCCAGAGGTCAGTCTAGGATAGCTGAGTGGACACTTCAGTTATCAGCATCTTCATTAAAGACCACAATGAACCCTCCATGACGCTGTGATGAGGGCCATCGTGGAGGAGCTTGGAATTGCTGTGGTTCCCAGTCTGCAGGTTATGAATGCCATGATGCATGATGTGCATATCATGATGTGATAGATTTTCAAAGGCTCACGTTGTTATTAGGATGGGAAGAAGGTTCTTTTCTTAATAGGGAAGGTTTTCTCTTTGCTTTAAATCCTAGCAACGTAGATTAGGAAGGGGCTAAAAGAAATAGGAACAATGGTCACCCCAGGTATCTCTCATTGTCTCTATATTTTCTCCCAGTGGAGATGTAGCTAAAAGGGCATCACTATATGAGTACCCTTAGTCACCAAGCTTCATGAAGAGGCAAAAAGCCTCATAACATAAAAATATCCATCCATCTCTCTTCTCTCCTATGTCTCTCACCTTGCTCTGGAATCCCCTAACTCCTTTGCTCCCCACAGCAAGTTATTTTCTCCCCCAGCTTGTCCCTTCCCAATGTTGGCTATAAAGAAATGTCTGCTATTCTTATTCTCTCTCCTCTTTGTAAATTTGTGCTGATACAACGCTAATGTAATGCAACTTGATTGTGATGTAAAATTGCAAATCCTGCACAGGAAAAAAAACCCCAGCTTATTCTTTGTTAAGTCTAAGAAATATAACAGGGTTCTGGTGATTAAACTTAATATGGATGAATGTAAAACAAATTTTTATTAATTTTCATTTTTCGAGATAAAATTCTAATAAAACTTTGAGATTTGGGTTCCCATTTTAAATAGATTTAGATGGTCTTTCCCTAGTCCTAATGAGCCTGAGATAACTTGGGTCTCTTACACTTTCATGAATGTCATGAATACAAAGACAAAGAGAAATGGTGTGGTTTTGCATTTTCAAGTCCTGCAGATGTAGTTAACGTGGTTATTTGGAAGACATGGTAAATAATTCACTTGTCCATGGAGAAGGCAGTCCTGCTGAGGGATGTCACTGATCAGAGGAAATGCCACTGTTCTGAGGCTGAGATTGTCCACGATAGAGCAGAGAACTACCCGCTGCCACTTCCTAGAGAGAGGTGGAAGCTCTCAGGGTAGATGCCAAGTGCACGCCAGCATGGGGCTTAAGGAGCAAAAGCGGCTGTGGTCCAGGGTTGGGAGGGCAGGGCAGGACAAGGAAATGTCATTCCAAAGTGGTTGTGCAGAACATCCTTGCTCTCCTGGAGTCCAGACTCTGAATCTGAAGCCAGGCCTGACTGGGCTGCAGGAGGTCAGGGATCCTTTGTGACTATATTTAAAAAAATCTATGCATTTTGTGTGGACTTTTAAAGGAGTGAAATCATTCTACATGATACTACAATGGTGAATACATTTCTCAAAATCCATAGAGTGTACAACACCAAGAGTGAACCCTAATGTAAACTGTGGTCTTTGGGTGATAATGATGTGTCAATGTAGGTTGACAAATTGTAAAAAATGTACTACTCTGGTGCCAGATATTGATAGTAGGGGAGGTTGTGCGTGTGTGGCAGCAGGGGATATATAGAAACTCTCTCTACTTTCTGTTAAATTTTGCCATGAACTTAAAACTGCTCTTAAAAGAAAAGTTTATTAATTAAAAAAATCTGTTCACTTTATATATGTGTTTCCTAGAGGGAGGTTTATAATTTTCATGGAAGCTCAAAAATGCTACACAATCCTAAAAATGTTTTTTAAAAAACAAACCAAACCCATCCCTTCTAGAAAAATCTAAATATGCCTGCTTAGGGCATCTAATTCTATAATTGGCAAAATGAAGGAAGACAGGCAATGATATCTATAGACTTGATAATACCTTAATGCGTTTATCTTATTAAAAGGAACAACTCTATAACTATGTCTGAAATCTTTTTTTGGCCTTCCACCAGCCCTGTTCTCCCCTACTTCACTCTTTCAATGTCAATTACATGTAAAAACACTTCAGTCTTTTGAGCCACTACCTAATATGTGATGCTATGGAGCACAGTTTATTTAGCCATTCCAATGTTGATGGTCATTTAGGTGGTTTCCACTTTTTCACCATTAGAAGCAAAGCTGAAATGAACATCCTTGTGCATGTGGGCAAGGATTTCTCCAGGAAAGATACCTAAGTATTAGAATTGCATTTTATTTTAATATATACCTCTAAAGAGCCCTTTAAAAAGACTAAAAACTAAGCTCCCACTAGCAATATGTGAGAATCCATATTTCCATATACATTCCCCAACTTTGAATATTATCAAACTTAAAATTTTTTCGACAATCTGATAGGTGGAAATGATATCTAGTTACATTAATTTGCATTTTTCTATTTATTAATCAGCTTCAGATGTTGTCTCTGTTTATTGACCACTTGTGTTTCCACTTTGGTGAATTTCCTTTTTATTTCCTTTGCCAATTTCTCTCCTGGATTGTTTATCCTTTCTATTTTTATTTATGGGAATTATTTACATATTGGTTGTACTAATATTTTGGCTTTTATTTATGTTATAAATATTTTCTTCCAGTGTCTTTATTTAGCTTTGCTTATGGTGTCTTAATTTCTATCTGACATTTTAACATTGTAAAATGTATTCTTTTCCTATTTGTTTCTTATATAACAAGTCCTTCTCAATTCCCAAGTTCATAAAGATATTAAATATATTTTCTTCCAATAATTTTATAATTTTCAGTCTTTAATCCATTTGAGACTTATTCTTATTAATAATGCAAGATAGGAGTCTTTTACCTCCTAATAATAGCCTGAAGTGATTTTTTTTTTTACCCCGTAAAGAAATTTTCTGATATAATTTCTTAAATAGGCCATCCTTCTTCCATTGATTTGAGCTGAATCCAGTAACTACAACAGAGAGAACTCTTTATGGTTGCTCAGAGTCCAGCCTGCTACGTTCCCTTCTTATAGCATCCCCATTCCAGCCCATTTGCCTGGTCTAACGCCTCCTCCTTAGTCTTAGGAATTGCTTAAGACCAAGTTCAAGAATCAACACTTCACCCTCAGAAAAACTTCCCTCATTCTCCTAGTCATACCCTTGCTTAACATCCCCCAGTGACTTTCATTTGGAATAAAACTCAAACTCCTTACCTGGCCCACAGGCCATAGGAGTACTGCCCACTCTTGAACCTCATCTTCTACTCTGTCTCCTTGGCTCACTCATGTCCAGGCTCACTGGGCTGTGCTGTTTCTCCAATGCTTCCAAGTGCAGGCCCTTAGCACTTGCTGATCACTCTGCCTGGAATTCTCTCCCCCTTGCTTGGCTTACTCCTTCTTGTCTTTCACATCTCAGTTCAAATGTCCACTTTTCAGAGAGTTCTTCTCTGATTAACCTCTCCAAAATGGTGTGCAACTGGACCACTCTATCCTTACTGCTTTTATTTTCTTATAATCATCATCAGAAATCCTGGTATTTGCTTACTTGTGTATTATCCATCTCTCCCACTAGATTGTAAACTGTCTCGTCCACCTCTGTATTTCCAAAACTTGGACCAAAGTTTGGCACCTAGGAGAGAATTAGTGAGCGTTGGATGAACGAAAGTCCCTGCTTGTGCTCTTGAAGGGACCTCTGTTGTGTTTACCTCCGTTGTAGCAATTCTCGCACTATTTTAATTGGGTTTTCCTGGCCTGACTTTCATTAATTTTCCTGAAGTGCAGTGATTTTTTTTGTCTTTATATGTCCAGTGCCTGACACAGAGTCAAGAAATGTATACTGATTGAATAAATTGAATAAGTGAATTGGAAATTGACATTGAGATGCCATTTTTAAAGAGTAAATTTAGTACTTTTAAGAAAACGTTCACTTTAGGCTGGGTATGATATCTCACACCTGTCATCCTAGCGCTTTGAAAGGCCGAGGTGGGAGGATTGCTTGAGGCCAGGAGTTTGAGACCACCCTGGGCAACATAGCAAGACCCTGTTTCTACAAAAAATAGAAAAATTAGCCAGGTGTGGTGGTGTACGCCTGTTGTCTACTTGGACATCTTAGATATACAAGTTCATTACTGTTTGGATTTTATTGGGCACCATATTCAGAATGATATAGTCTAATGGCCATATTGGCCCAAGGCCATCCTACTTGGCCTGTGGTCAATACTGGCCATACATTGTCCTTTACGTCTCTTTGGACTTTAGGAAGGATCTA